AACGGCGGCTTCTTCCGCATGAACACGGGCGAGTGCCTGGGGAACGTGGTGAGCGACGAGCGGCGGGTGAGCAGCTCCGGGGGGCTGCAGAACGCGCAGTTCGGGATCCGCCGCGACGGAACCCTGGTCATCGGGTGAGGAGGCAGGGAGCGCCGTGCTGTCGAGGGCAGAGGGGCTGAGATTTGGGTTGTAGCCGTGCCTGCGTGTTCAAGTCATTTAACCAAGCTGAGCCTCTGTTTCCTCATCTGCAGAATGGGCATAGGAATCGCTTCCTTACAGAGTTTATTCATCATTCAGTATCATTGAGCACTTGCTTGTATCAGGGAATGTGCTGCGCCCTGGTGAGATAACCGTGAACGACACAGTCTTTGCCTTAACAGACCTCCCCCATTACTAGAAAAATCAACAAAAGCCGGGTACATAGCTAACATACATTCTGATTGCTGTGTGTGCAGCAAAGCAGCCAACGAGGTGAACCGGTTGTAAATACAGTGTTGATTTTAGGGAGGGTGATCTGGAACAGGCCTCTCCAAGGTGACCTTTGAGTTCGAACTTGAAGATTACTCACTAAGCCAAAGACAGAACTGGAGGAAGGGAGGAAGAGCATTTCAGTCCAAAGGAACCCCCAGCACAAAGATCGGAGGCTCAGGGGTGCTTGTGTGTGAGAGGGACTGAAAAAGGAGTGGGGTGTCAGAAACATCAACTCATCAAGACTGATTATTTTGTGGGGTTTTTTTTTCTTTTGAGACAGTCTTGCTCTGTGGCCCAGGCTGGAGTGCAATGGCACCATCTTGGCTCACTGCAACCTCCGCCTCCTGGGTTCAAGCGATTCTTCTGCCTCCGCCTCTGGAATAGCTGGGACTATAGGCGTGTACCACCACGCCCAGCTAATTTTTGTATTTTTAGTAGAGACGGGGGTTTCACCATATTGGCGGGGCTGGTCTCGAACTCCTGACCTCAAGTGATCCGCCTGCCTCGGCCTCCCAAAGTGCTGGGATGACAGGTGTGAGCCACCACGCCCTGCGAAGACTGATGGTTTGAATTATTTAAAATTGAGTCTTAAAAAAAAACAAAAAACAAAGAAATTATTTGGTGATGTTAAAGCTTGTTCTGATCCTGAGTAGGACTAGGTGAGAGAAATCAGTGGAGAAACGAGGAACCCAATGAAGAGGCCATAACAGGGATCAGGTGATAGTTGGGCTGGGTATGGCCTGGAGATTGAGGGCCATGGATGGATTTGAGATCTGTTGGCAGATGGTCATTTCTATTAAATGAAACTTAGACTGTTTGCAAAGGCGCATGGGGATCCTATTGTTAGAACCCTGTCTGGATTCAGCTCTGACAACAGGGAGATTTCCTAGGGCCGTTAAGTTGTCTCAGCTACACTCAGGTCCCAGCAGGTTCCTGGGGCAGGAGGGGGAATCTAGCAGCCAGGTTGGGGCAGCCAGGGAGAAACAGCCTGACTCTCTGCAGTTGCTCCTGCTGGTGAGTGAGCTTCCCACCTTCCCCGGATCCAGGTACCTGTCTGAGGAGGAGGTGCTGGACACTGAGAACCCATTTGTGCAGCTGCTGAGTGGGGTCGTGTGGCTGATTCGTAATGGAAGCATCTACATCAACGAGAGCCAAGCCACAGAGTGCGACGAGACACAGGAGACAGGTTGGATGGGGAGGCTGTTGACAACAGCCGTCTTGAAAACCAGGACCAGTGGGCTGGGCGGAGCTGTTCTTAAGTCTTTCAAGTATTGAGTAGCTACTTTGTGCCCAGCACTACTCTGGGTACTGGGGATTCATGGGGATGAAGATAGGCTTATATTCAATATATAAGACAGAAAATAGTTATAGAATGTGCTGATAAGAATTGGTAAGTGCTCAGAAACAAAAATAAAGTTGGGGGAAAGGGGAGAGATGGGGACAGGAGCCATGGGTACAGGAAGAGAAAAGTGAAGAGAAAAAAATCATGGACCTGCAACATCGGCGTGGCCCAGGAGCTCGCTCCAAAGCCCCACCCACCTCAGACCTGCAGAATCAGTGGCGGCCCAAGCGTCTGTGTTTTAACGGCCTCCGTGCTGGTTCTGACCAACACTCAAGGTTGAGAACCACTGGGATGCGGAGTACTGGGGTGGGGACAGGATACCATGGCCCTGATGTGGGCATGGGCTGTTTTTATAGAGTGGGCAGTAAGCTAGGTGTGGTGGCTAACACCTGTAATCCCAGCACTTTGGGAGGCCAAGGCAGGAGGATTGCTTGAGCCCAGGAGTTCAAGACCTGCCTGGGCAGCATAGTGAGACCTATCTCTACCAAAAAAACCACAAAAAGTAGCCAGGCATGGTGGTGTGTGCCAGCTACTTGGGAGGCTGAAGCAAGAGAATTGCTTGAACCTGGGAGGCGGAGGTTGCAGTGAGCGGAGATCCCACCACTGCACTCCAGCCTGGGCAAGGCAGCAAGACTCTTTGTCTCAAAAAAAAAAAAAAAGAGTGGGCCGTCAAGGAAGGCCTCACTAACGAGGTGATCTGACGAAGGAGCAAGCTAGAGAAAAGCACAGTTCTCAGCCAGAGGGAACAGGAAGTGCAAAGTGGCTGCAGGGTGGTGAGGGGACACCCAGGAGCTGAGGCAGGAGGAGGAAGAGGCTGGGGAGGGCATGCTGGCCCTTTGGATCTTGTTCTAAGAACAGGGGAAACCATGGCCGGGTGGGGTGGCTCAAGCCTGTAATCCCAGCACTTTGGGAGGCCGAGGCGGGCAGATCACGAGGTCAGGAGATGAAGACCATCCTGGCTAACACGATGAAACCCCATCTCTACTAAAAATACAAAACACTAGCCGGGCGAGGTGGCGGGCGCCTGTAGTCCCAGCTACTTGGGAGGCTGAGGCAGGAGAATGGTGTGAACCCGGAAGGCGGAGCTTGCAGTGAGCTGAGATCCGGCCACTGCACTCCAGCCTGGGCGACACAGCCACACTTGGTCTCAAAAAAAATAAAAAATAAAAATAAATAAAAGAACAGGGGAAGGCATTAGAGGGTCTTCACCTGGAGGCTGGCATAGCTTGGTTTACCTGCAAGAAGAGCCCCCCGGCTGTCCTGGGGAGACTGGGATATGCAGAGGGGAGGCAGGGAGATGAGCCAGGAGGCTGCTGTGCTTCCCAGGAAAGTGGCGGGTAGCTCAGACCAGTGGGAAGTGGAGTTAGGCAAGAAGCAGGAGGCCTCCCAAGGGGCCGGTGATCAGCCAGGCTGCTTCTCCTTCAGGTTCCTTTAGCAAATTTGTGAATGTGATATCAGCCAGGACGGCCATTGGCCACGACCGGAAAGGGCAGCTGGTGCTCTTTCATGCGGACGGCCAAACGGAGCAGCGTGGGTGAGTCCTGGGCGCTGAGGCCCCCTGGCTGGGGCTCAGTCCTGCTGGGAGGAACGTTGACCCAATGACAGCCGCCCTCTGACTCTGCCTGCTTTCTGGGATGTTCACACCTATCTGACTCCCCCTTCCAGGGCCCCCCCCGCCTACCCTTCCACAGGATGAGGGTCCTGAGATCTTTCCCGAGTCCAAGAACTCATCATCTCCAGCTTTAGGCCTCACCTTTCCTGAACCCTAGTTAGGATACAAGGAAACGGTCACAAAGTTAGCAGGGAGAAGACCTTGGTTCCAACCCCAGCACAGCCATCCTATGCCGCAGACAAGTCACTCAGCCTCCCTGAGCCGCATTTCTATCCCCTATAAAGAGAGAGTATTGGTTTGCTCTGGCTGCGTAACTAGCACAAATTTAGCAACACTCAACAGGGAATGTTCTTTTGTTTGTTTCTTTGAGGCAGGGTCTTACTCTGTCGCCCAGGCTGGAGTGCAGTGGTGCAGTCTCAGCTCACTGCAACCTCTACCTCTCGGGTTCAGGTGATCCTCCCACCTCAGCCTCCCGAGTAGCTGGGATTACAGGCACCCACCACCACGCCCGGCTAATTTTTATATTTTCAGTAGAGATGGGGGTTTCATCATGTTGGCCAGGCTGGTCTCGAACTCCTGACCTAAGGTGATCCATCTACCTCAGCCTTCCAAAGTGCTGGAATTGCAGACGTGAGTCACTGCACCTGGCTAATTTTTATATTTTTAGTAGACACAGGATTTTATCATGTTGGCCAGGCTGGTC